AGGATGAGGACTGGGTAAACATGTGGTGACAAATCAGCTGTGAAAGGTGCCTTGCATGATTGTGTGTGTCTGTGTTCATGTGCATGTGTGTGCAAGTGAGTCTGTGCATGTGGAGGCCAGAGGACAGCCCCAGGCATTACTACTCAGGACACCATTCACCTTGAATTTTTGGTTCTTTTTTGTGGTTTTTGTTCTTTGGTTTGGATTTTGTTTTTTATTTTGATTGCTTTTGTTTTTTGAAACAGTAACTATATAGCTCTTGCAGGCCTGGAACTGTATATGTAGATCAGGATAGCCTGGAACTCAAAAAGATCCATTTGCCTCTTGCTCTGCTTCTTCCACCGCCTCCCCAACTCCCCCGCCAAAAAAATAGAATTAAAGGAATGCATCCTTCTGTCCAGCCCACCCTGAGTTTAAATATTTAAAATTGCACTTCCTTCTTTATTCTGTGGGGGCAGGGCACACATGTGCTACAGTCTGAGCAGCAGCCAGGTTCTCACACTGCAGTCTGACACTCCCCATGGTCACATATGTGCAGAAGCACTGTGCACACCACAGCCCCAGGCTGCTCTTCCACAGAAAGTGCCTCTCCCCCCTGAAAGCATCATGGCTGCAGGACACAGACGCTGTTATTAGGGGAATGGAGTTGGCATTGCAGGAGACGGATTACAGTCAACATGGCAGGGCGCTCTAAGGAGATTTCAGGCTCCACCAACATGGCAGGAACTCCAAAGAGGGAAGGGGAGTTCTTTTTATGTCCTTCTGAGGATAGGGGTGGTTTCACTGCACAAGCTGAACCAGGAAGGAGGCAGGAGAGGGAACAGGATGTGTGGTCACTAATACCGTCATTGACTAAAATCACTGCCCAGGTGAGAACCCCTGGACCTGGATGGAAGCAGGTCAGCTGGAGAGAACAGTGTCTGGACAGCAGTGTCTCTGTGAGAGGTGAAGGGCGGTGCTGTGCCCTGAGCAGCAGCTGGATTCTGACATCACAGCCTTAGGGTGCAGAGGACAGACTGGAGGGGACCAGGCTGTGTCACTTTGCCACAGTGGAGCTGCACATGGGGATGAATGGCCAGAACCAGGAAAATGTCAAGGAAAAACCTTTCAGACTTTGTGATTAGCCTGGTGTGGTAGTGAATGTCTGTAACTCCAGTGTGTGCAAGGGGCAGGCAGGAGGATCAGTAGTTCAAAGTCATCCTTGGGTGTGGAAGACCTCAAACAAACACTCAGTGATTAGATGGATGACATGGGGACCAGGGAACAGGAACAAGTGTAAGTGTGTTGAGAAACACTCCGGTGAAACAACCAAGCCATATAGGGACAGAAAGAGGAAGTCTGTTTGAGAGTGTGTAATGGCGGTTACTTTTCCACTGTGGTGATAAAACATCATAATCAAAAGTAACTTGAGGAAGGAAGAATTGGATTTGGCTTGTGGTCCAGAAGGAAGGTTAATAGTGGAGGGGCAGCTGAAGCAGGACACTGAGAAGTCACATCGGCAACACAAGCAGAAAACACCTTTCCAATATGACCAAGATTTCAAATAGGTGAGCCTATGCTGAAGATTATTCACTCAAACCTGCACAGCGGTGGGCTGACCAGGTGATTTGGGATTACAGTTGAAGTGCTCATGTGGATCTGACAGAGCTGTCCAAAAAACAAAGAACAACCAAGGAAAGTGTACTTAAGTCAAAAGAGAAAACACAGAGAGATGAGTCAGGAGTTAAGAATACTTGATGCTCTGGCAGAGAACCTGAGTTCTGCTCCCAGCACCCACATCAGGCAGTTTACAACCTCCTGTAACTCTGGCTGCAGGTCTGTCGGAAGTCCTCTCCTGAATCCCACAGGCATCTACTCTCATGTGCACATAAATTTAAAATTCTAAAAACAAAACATTAACAAAAAACTTTAAAACCTACAGTAGATAAATGAATAAATGAATAATAGACTTTTCTAAAGAATACCTTAGCCCTCAGAGAGTAAAAGGTGTCAGTGTCCAAGCCTGGGAGCCACATGGTGGAGGGAACTGATGGCCACAAGTTGCCCTCTGACCTCCATACAAACTGTGGCTCATCCTTCCACGTAATAAATAAGTGGGGGGAGGGGGGGAACCTATAGTCATGAAAACAGCATAGTATGCACCAAGACAAATAGACCAGTAGAGGGAAATATAATCCAGAAAGAGGTGGTCTCCAAAGTCACAAAAAGGAAGGCTGGTGAAGGCAGAGTAGATGAGTCAGGTGTGGAGTGAGGGAACTCAAGGTTGGTGAAGGAAGCAGAGGAGACAGGGGTGGACATGGACCTAGCAGAGATCTGGGGAGGTTGCTGTGTAGGACACAGCCCAGCAGAGGGAGCTCAGGCTCCTCTCTGACTGCCTGGGGCAGGTTCTCTGCTCCCCTGTCCTCTGAAGGTGGTCTGAACACAGAGGACAGCTGAGAGGGATGATGGAGGATCAGCACTGATGTCACACTGACACTGTTTCTTCCCCACAGGACAGAGGACTAAAGCCGAAATCCCAGCCAGGTGAGCGCCATCCAGGTCCTCTGCAAGAGCAGCCAGCGCTCTTAACCACTGAGCCATCTCTCCAGCCCCTTCAAATAACATTAAAAAGGAAAACCACACAAGGGCTCTTCACATCTCCCTAACCACTGACTCATCCTGTCTGCTCCCTCCTTGTCCTCTATGACCTCAGGCTCCTCAGGCACCAGATTCACACACTGACAAGGAGTGCAGAGGATCTCAGGAGTCTCCTTCCCAGAACAACACCCACGTTAGGACTCATTCTTCCTCCCTCTCTTCTTCCATTTCCTGGGTTGCCCTCTCTGTCTCTGTTTCCTCTCAGCCTTGAACATCCGCCTGGATTCAACAGCTCTCCCATCCTTCCCTTTCTTCTCTCTCTCTTTCTCTATGGTCAGTGAGCCCTGCTGCCCCAGAATCCTTTGTTCCAGATCTTCCACATTTCTTACCCTTTTCTCTCCACTTCCAACCTCTCCACCCTTCTCTCCTGCCTCTTCTTTTCCTACTGTACATGGCCTCCTCTGAACCTTCCTCCTCTATCGGGGACTATGGGGGTCCAGTCCCTCGATAGTACCCTCCCATGGTCCGGGAAGAATCTACAACCAGCTGATAATTAACCTTTGATGAATGAAATGAATCTATGTACACGAAACTCCTTTGTTTTTTCTGTTTGTTATTCTGTGATAGTTCTCTCTCTGCACAGCTTCTATTCTGCTCTCATGTCTAGCTCCTTTCTTGCCTAATTTCTCTCTATGTTTATCTACTGTCCCCTCAAGGTTCTACCTGGATGATTCACACAGAAACAGGAAGAGTTGAGCCTGTTCTTGCCACCACTGTCATGGGAAAACACAGCTGGGTACAAAATCAGAGTCTGAATACTGGCGACACCATCAGGAACTGCAGTCTAAAGAATCACAAAGCCTGTCCTGGGAGGCTGTGTTTACTCAGGATGAATACTGGGTAAACGTGTGGTGGCAGATCAGCTGTGAAAGGTGTCTTTAGTATTTGTGTGTGTCTGTGTGCAAGTGAATGTATGCACTCATATAAGTAGAGACACTCCCCATGGTCACATGTATGTAAAAGCCTGATGTGTGCATACCAAAGCCCCAGGCTGCTTTCCCACACAAAGTGCCTCTCCCATGTGAAAGCATCCTGGCTGCAGGGTCCAGTCACTGCTGTTGGGGGTAACGGGGTTGGCACTGCAGGAGACTGATTACAGCATCCTGGACAGAAATCATCCCTCAGCAGGGTCCCTGTGCGGATTCAACAGAGTCCAGGACTTGAAACTAGAACAGATCCATGACTTGGGATTAAGGACCCAGCAGGTAGCAGCAGTGAAGAAGAGCTCAAGGGGCAGCTGGGATCATAAGTGAATGTTGCTGCTCTGAGTCTTTGCCCACTTCATCCAAAGAAGGTTCTAGAACAGCCACAGCTAAAGGGGGTCACTCAAGTGCTTTGTGGGAACAGCCTCCTGTGAACCCAGCAGCTGATCTCTGAACTTTGAGGAGAGTTCAGAGGCTGCAAGTAGCAGGCAGACTGAAGTCTGTGTGGAGTCCAGTCAACTGGCCATGTGGTAGTCATGTGACATGTGCCAGGGCTTCTCTGATCCTTGGCATCCTCTTCTGAGGTGTGTGAAGGTTGGTGGGATGTAGAAAGTCTCCTTCAGAAACTTGGAGTAACTTTGGAGTCACTGTCTAGGGGAGGGAGACTATCACCCAGGAAGCCCAGGGTAGTTACAGACTCGGCAGCAGTGAGCAGGCCAGGGCGAGAGTGTCCACTGGGCCTTGGTTCTGCTGGGTGCTGTGCAGAGTCCCTGAAGGACAAGAAGAGGACAAAGAGCAGATGATGGTGGGGACACCGAGCTAGGGCTGGGACTGAATGTGTTTCCTCATCACCTCCATCCTCATTGTGTCTGAAGTGAGCAGAAACTGACCACTTCTGTGCCTGAGATTACTAGACAGACAGGCAGACAGACAGACAGCATGATGGGAGACACAATAAAAAATAGATTGAGCTGTTGGCACACACCGTTAACCCCAGCACTCGGGAGGCAGAGGCAGGCAGATCTCTGTGAGTTCGAGGCCAGCCTGGTCTCTAAAGCGAGTTCTAGGAAAAGGCGCAAACCTACACAAAGACACCTTGTCTTGAAAAACAAAACAAAACAAACAAAAAAAATAGATTGAGGAGGAAAATGGCAGGAGAGGAAGATCTCTAGAGGTATTGTGAAAACAATAATTACAGGCCACATAGGAAATGGGGTAAGACTGGATAAGACAGAAGGTCAAAATGTAAGAGAGAAGAGCCAGGCATACAAAGGTCAATTCCACATCTTCCAGCTAAAAATATGGGCTGAGCTCAATGTCACAGCCACCCTGACAGTGACCACAGGGCGGATCTTCTGCAGCATGGGAAAGAAGAAGCCAGAATCATGAAGGAAGTTGCTGGTCACAAGGAGGTGGAGATGGGGAGGTCCTGCCCCACTCTGTCCTTCACATGAGAAGGTCCAGTGCATCTGGGTCATCTTATCATTATTCTCTTGACTCCTGGGCACCCCAGTGTCCCTGCACAGGGCTCCTCTCCTTCCTGCTGGCTCTGCTGGTCTCACTTCCGGGAGGGAATCAGGCCATGACTTGGATCCTGATTCTGCTGACAGCTGCTTGTCTGCAAGCTGGTGAGTGGTGGGGACCTTGTTAGCAGGGACTCTGCCTTAACCACAGGAGGGGCCAGTGGGGCTGGGAAGAGCAGGCTGTCATGTGGACAGGGGTCTGCTGGAGGATCCAGACAGTGCTGTGTGCCCCAAGAGAGAGCTCATCCTCAGAGTGGGTCCAGTCCAACCCTTCCTTGTCTGTCCTGTCCTGTGTGGGACAATGGGACACAGAACTGGCCTATGGATAATGGCTCAGGAAGCTCTGAATTGTCTTTTCCATTCCCTGAAGAGACTTCAGATTCTCCCCATCCCTCCCAGGTAACTCAGCAGAATCCAACAGAGTAAATGCCTTTTGGGTCAACCAACCAGCCCGCCTCTCTGGTGTCCAGGGCGGCTCCATCGAGATCCCCTTCTCCTTCTACTTCCCCTGGGAGTTGGCAGAGGATCCACAGATGAGGATTATCTGGAGATGGGAGCAATTCCATGGGAAATTTATCTACAACTCCACGCCACCTTTTATACATAAACATTTCAAGAACCGGCTCATCCTGAACTGGACACAGCCTCAGACATCCGGAGTACTCAGAATCCAGAACTTGAAGAAGAAGGACCAGACAGTGTTCTTCTGCCGAGTTCATCTGAACACAAAAGAAGGAATGAAGGAGTTTCAGTCGATTCCTGGAACCAACCTCACCATCACCCATGGAGAGCACATCCCAGGTGGTCCTGACTTCCTTGTACCATAGATGTCATTAGAGATCCTACACTTCTGGTCCTTCCCACAGACTCCTCTCGTGTGTTCTGTCCCCTCCCCAGAGCTCTGACAACTCCACCTTTCCTCTTCCCCACAACCATCCCCAAGCCTTAGCTGCTCTCTCTGAGCTGCCCCTCATTGCCCTCAGATCCACCCCACCCCCAGTCAGCTCTTCCCAGATGGCCCAGTCTCCTGCTCCTTTCTCCAAACTGACTACCGCCCTGCCCACCCCACCCTCATTGACACAAATCCACGTGGATCTGGCCTCTCCAGGACGGAGCAGCCTTCACCTGGTCCTGTGTCAGGGTCTCCATTAGATCTAGACTTTACACCATATCTCGTGCCTTCCACAGTAGGTGCCTTCTGGTGCCGTGAACCCCTCCTCCTCTGGGTCCCCCCACTTCACCAGTCTCTGGACACATCCCTCACCTCTCCCTGCCCCAGTTTCTTTTTTCCCTCCCTCATTTCCCTCTTCCCCTCCTTCCTCCCCATCCCCCACCTTCCCACACAGAACTTCATGTTCTCACCATGATCAGGTTCTCTGGTCACTTCTCCTCCTCCATGGCAGCTGTAACTGCGTCTTCCACACAGAGTGCACACAGGCCCAGCCTAGTCACTGAGTGGACATTACCCCAGCCACCTGTCACCACTGTTGGGCACTCTCATGGTCATTATACAGAGAGAGACATGGAGACATGAAGAATGTAAGCCCTGTCCAAAGTATGCTGGTGAGGAACAGGCCCTGTAAAGGACACTTTACCTCCAAACATCTCTCAACCAGTAGACACGTGGCCTCTGCTTGAGTTCACACTATTGCTTACCTCTCTTCTGTCTTGATTTTGTGGAATGTGTACATATGGTGTAAACATGTGTGTGTGTGTGTGTGTGTGTGTGTGTGTGTGTGTGTGTGTGTGTGTGTTTGCATGGGTTCACGTGTATGTTGGGGGGGGAGTGTTTCATTTTTGTGTTTGGGAAGGCCACAGTGGATGGTCATTGGGAGTCCTCCTGTAAGACCCACCTTATTCCCTTGAGGCAGGGTCTCTCACTGAACCTGGAGCTCACTGTTTGGGGCTGGACTGATGGGCTGTCTCCATCTCCACAGTGTTGTGGTTACAGGTGCTCACGTGGTCTGTCTTACAAATAAGTTGAATGACATCTGAGGAAGGAATGCCCAAGGTTAACCTCTGACACACACACAAACACACACACAGATACACAAACACATACACACATTCATGTACCACTGCTGAAAATAAATTATAAAATAGTCAAATAATAATAAATTCATTAATTATATCACCAATTCTCAGCAGTGCAGGTGATAAGTGGGTTTGTCCCTTCCAGGTTAGACCCACCCGCCTCCCCCTGGCAAACCAGTCCTCATCTTAACCCCTGTGTTGGTTCAGGATAAACACCACAGGCAGAGCTGACAGGCACCTTACATCTGCATTTCCTGTGTCTCCTACACGTTTCCCTAAATGGCTCCTGTTCTTCCAGCCTCCTCCCTCTTCCTCCTTTCCTAATGTCTTCAGCCTTGGAGATAATCTGTTAGGTGCTTGTAGAACAATCAATTTAAGGCAGTCATGCCTTCCTCTGCTTCAGGAAGACACACCATGTTTTTTTTCTTGTCTCCAGGGCCACGTGCACACTAGACAAGGGCTCTGTCATTGACTTACACCTCACCTCCACTGCTAGTTCTTCATCAGTATTTTTTATCATCATTTTTAAAATTAATTCATTAACTGAATATTCTTGCCTGTTGTTTTTTAAATTATTAAATTAACGATAAAAAGACATTTTTCTTTTTTTTCCATTTGTTTAAGACAGAGTCTCATGTGGCCATGCTGGCCTCAAATTGCTATATTACCTACGATGGCCTTGAACTCTTTCCCAAGAGCTGCGACCAAAATGGCGTTTCACCACTCCTGTGTCCCCTGCTTGAGATGGACTCAGGGCCTCGTGCACCCTAGGCAAGCACTCCACCACTGAGCTGCATCCACAACCCTCAAAAGAAATGTTTCAAAAAAAAAAGAAAAAAAGAAAGAAAGAAATGTTTCATTCGAGGAAAATATCCTCATTTAGGGCAAAGATATCGCACCTGGAGAAATATTTGCAACAAGTATCGAAAAGAATCCTGTGGTTGGCTTATTAATTCTCTTTCCATAATTTCATTTTTATAGCCAAATTCAATAGTACTCTTCTTTGCACGTTTTTTCTTTCATGTCTAAGCAAAGAGACCCTTAGTGATAGATCTCTCTCTGTGTCTCTCTTTCCCTCCCTCTAGCTCTCTGTCTCTCTCCCTCTCTTCCTATGTTTCCTTTGATGGGTCGTTCGCTGGGCTAAACTCACAAAGTGGGCTAGGACAGCTGGCAGTGAGCCACAGGGATCTGCCTATTTTCCCCTTGAAGTACTGGGATTACAAGTGCATGGCAACACACACAGGTCTCTGGGGATGCTGGGAAGAGGAAGTGTTGGATCAGGAGTCCTCAGGCAGATGCAGAGGACACAAGATGAGACTGCCCTACTGAGAAAAGGTACCAAGTTAAATATAGATAAAAATTATGGGTTAATTTAAGAGCCAGTTAGTAATAAGCCAGAGCTATCAGCAGAGCATTTATATATAGTTATATTAATATTATATATATATATTATATAAGTCTCTGGGTGGTAATTTGGGAAGCAGCTGCCAGGTATTTAGGAGTTGTTGAAGGGAGAGAAACTTCCACTTACACAAACCAAAGGCCCAGGCTGCTCTTCACAGGAAGTGCCCAAACCCTATGAGAGCATCATGGCTGCAGGGTACAGTCACTGCTATTGGGGGAAATGGAGTTGGCACTGCAGGAGACAGATTGCAGCATCCTGGACAGAAATCATCCCACAGCAGGGTCCCTATGGGGGTTCAACAGAGGACTTGAAACTAGAACAGAGCCCATGACTTGGGATGCAGGGGCCAGCAGGTGTCCTAGTTCGAGTATCTATTGCTATAAAAAAAAAAAAAAACTCCATGACCAAAGAACTTAGGGAGGAAAAGGTTTATTTGGCTTACACTTCCCAATCACGTTCAATGCTGACTTCGTCTCCTCCCAGCCCCCAGGACCACCTCTCCAAGCCCCACCATGGCAACTTCTGCACTCACCAGAACTGCACTCACAGCCACAGAAGGGAAGAAGAGTGGGAAGAATCAGAACCTGGGACTGGGAACCAGAGTTGGGTTGGCAGTGGCTGCTGCTGTACTCCTGGCTGGGGTTGTGGGGTTGACAGTGTTCCTCGGGTGGAGGAGAAGGAAAGGTAAGTGGTCCAAGACTGCACCCCATCAGACTTCCTGAGTGTTTACACAGAACAGTCCACACCAGAGTCCTGGAAGGGGATTGACACCAGCCCAGATGTGAGGGTCAGGGCATGGCTGAGTCAGGAAAGAGCTTGAGTCCTGGACGTTGTCCTTTAACACACCCACACCATGGTGTGTACACACTCACACACATGGTGCATAAAAACATCTAATACAATTAAAAAATGAAAACACTGACAGCCAGTGGTGATCCACACCTCAGTAAGTGCACCTGGGAGGTGGAGGCAGGAGGATCTTGAGTTCAAGACTAACCTGGATTATATGAGAATTAATCTCAACCCTCCTCCTTCCACAAAATAGAAAAGGGCTGGTAGTCATGAAGAGGACACTCTTTGGCCTTCTAGGAAAGGTAAACCATTTCAGGAACTCTTGAGCAGTGTGGTGCTGGTGGGGGAGGCAGGAAATGACCAGAGGGAACCTGGTAAATCAGGTCCCCAAGTCTCTGATACCAGAGGAAAAATGCAGTGGCCACCACAGTGCCCTGGTGTAATGACATCAGTGTGTGTGAAAATCTCAGATGGGGATTCAAGAGGGTCACTGAGACAGATTACCAGGGAGGAAGACGTTTACTGAGAATTATTGATGCGATGGACAGGCAGAAAGGTAGATATCAACATGGCAGGGCACTCCTAAGGAGATTTCAGGCTCCACCCACATGGCAGGAGCTCTAAGAGAGAAGGGGATTCTTTTTATGTCCTTCTGAGGATAGGGGTGGTTTCACTGCACAAGCTGAACCAGGAAAGAGGCAGGAGAGGGAACAGGATGTGTGGTCACTAATACCATCATTGACTAAAATCACTGCCCAGGTAAGAACCCCTGGACCTGGATGGAAGCAGGTCAGCTGGAGAGAACAGTGTCTGGACAGCAGTGTCTCTGTGAGAGGTGAAGGGCGGTGCTGTGCCCTGAGCAGCAGCTGGATTCTGACATCACAGTCTTAGGGTGCAGAGGACAGACTGGAGGGGAACAGGCTGTGTCACTTTGCCACAGTGGAGCTGCACATGGGGATGAATGGCTAGAACCAGGAAAATGTCCAGGCAAAAGCTTTCAGACTTTGTGATTAGCCTGGTGTGGTAGTGCATGTCTGTAACTCCAGTGTGTGGAAGGGGCAGGCAGGAGGATCAGTAGTTCAGAGTCATCCTTGGGTGTGGAAGACCTCAAACAAACACTCAGTGATTAGATGGATGGCACAGGGAACAGGAAACAGGAACAAGTCTAAGTGTGTTGAGAAACACTCTGGTGAAACAACCAAGCCATATAGGAACTGAGAAAGGAAGTCTGTTTGAGAGTGTGTAATGGCGGTTACTTTTCCACTGCAGTGATAAAACATCGTGATCAAAAGTAACTTGTGGAAGGAAGAACTGGATTTGGCTTGTGGTCCAGAAGGAAGGTTAATAGTGGAGGGGCAGCTGAAGCAGGACACTGAGAAGTCACATCTGCAACACATGCAGAAAAAAACCAGGGAGAAGGTTGGAAGTGGTGGTGGGGGCAATGCATTCTCAACACGCACCTCCAGTGACACATAACTCTTCCAGAAGGCTGCACCTCCTAAATGGTTCGCAACCTCCCAAATACAACCAAGATTTCAAATAGATGAGCCTGTTATGAAGACTTTTCATTCAAATCTAACCCTAACCTAACTCAAACAATTAAACAATGAAAACAATTTAATTGTTTGGGTTAGTTAGGAGTGGGCTAACCAGCTGAGTTGGGGATCTATTAGACGTGCCTGTGTGGATCTCACAGAGCTGTCAAAAACAAACAAAAAAAGTGTATTTATAAGTCAAAAAGAAAACAGAGAGAGATGGTTCAGGAGTTAAGAGCACTTGCTGCCCTGGCAGAGGACCCCAGTTCAGTTCCCAGCACCCATATGGAGCAGCTCACAACCTCCTGTAAGTCTAGCTTCAGGCACCAGGGCTCTCTCTGGCCTCCTTGGACATATGGGAACAGGATGGCATACACAATCATGTACACATATATATATACACACAAATGAAAATAAATCTCTAAAACTAAAATTATAATCTAAAAACACATAGGGAAGGCCGGGCAGAAGTGGCACATGCCTTTAATCCAGGAACACAGGAGGCAGAGCCAGGTGGATCTCTGTGAGTTCGAGGCCAGCCTGGACTACAGAGCAAGCTCCAGGACACACAAAAAAGAAAAAAAAAACTACACAGAGAAACTCTGTCTCGGGGGGGGG